TCAAGGTTCAAGGCCAGCCTCAGCAAATAGTTCTGGAGGCCTCATCTCCAAAATAACCAGAGCAAAAGAGTGCTGGCAGAGTGGCTCAAGGTGCAGGCCCGGGGTTCAAACCCCAGTACCGCCAAACAAACAGACAAACGAGAGGGCTGAGGGTGTAGCTCAAGTGGTAGAGTGCTCAGGCATGAGGCCTTGGGTTCAGTCCCCAGGACTGCCAAAAAAAAAAATTCCAGAAAAAGCTTTGGTTAAGCACCTGAACCTCGACGAAGCAGCCAGAGGACACTTCCCGCTTCTGACATCTGATCTGGAAAGTTCTGTACGTGCTCTTATGAAGAGTAAAACCCAGAGGGGAGACACCCCGAACTCGCCTTGGGCGGGCAATCACTGACATTAGCTACACCTTTGCTGGGGTTCCAGAACATCGCACAGAGGCTGGGGTCCCCTAGCCTCACCCCGACCCTGGCTTTGTTTTACTCCATTCCCCTTGCAAGAATGAAAACCCAGGCTGGGATGTTAAAATTGGCCCTGGAAGGTAAGAAGTTCTTCCAGCTAAAAACATGTTGATTTAAAAACTCAAATATGCAGGGGCGGGGAGGCAGAGGGGGGACAGGAAACGCTGTCTTCCAAGACCTGCACCAGAGCTAGTTTATCTGGCAGCGACAAGCAAGGTGGCTTCCACAGATGTTTGGCTTTGTGGCTTTTTTAATGCAAGAGAAAGTACAAAAAAGTACCCCCACCCGCTGCCTCTCAAAAATGTTGGCGACCCCAGTTGCTAGACGATTTGCTATTCTTAAAAAATTAAGATGAGCCAGGTGAGGTAGCTCCCACCTGTAATCCCAGCTACTCAGGAGGCAGAGGTCAGGAGGATCACAGTTCAAAGCCAGCCTGGGCAAATAGTTTGTGAGACCCTATCTCGAAAAAACCCATCACAAAAAAGGGCTGGTGTAAATTTTTTTAAAAATGAGATGAAATCTATGCAACATCCATCTTTTTAGTGTACACTTCTATGTCATTTAGCACAGGCACAATGTCGTCCAGCCGTGACCACGATGGGGGTCCAGGACATTTTCACCTCCCCAGAAGGAAACTGCCCCCATTAAGCAGTTACCCCCTTTCCCTGCTGTCCCCAGCTGCTGTCATCCACTCGTCTGCTTCCCGTCTCTGTCTCTGTGCATTTGTCTCTTCTGAGTAGTTCACGTGACTACAATGGGACTACGCCACCTTTTGTGCCTGGCTTCTTTCACTTTTCATCAGCCCGCAACACATCCCCATTTCATTCCTTTTTATGGCTACGTATTTTCTGCCTTAAAAAAGTAAGCCAGGCTCAGTGGCTTTCCCCTGTAATCCTAGGTACTAAGGAGGCAGAGATTAGGAGGATCACAGTTTGAGGCCAGCTCAGGCAAAAAGTTTGACAAGACCCCATCTCAGCCCACATGAGCTGGGCGTGGTGGTGGTGCACCTGTCGTCCCAGCTACTCCACAGTGTAAACAGGAGGATCGAAGTCCATAAATTCGAGACCCCATCTGTAAAGTAAGCAGAGCAAAATGCTCTGGCGGAGTGGCTTAAGAGGTAGAGCACTTGCCTAGCAAGCGGGAGGCCCCGAGTTCAAACTCCACTATTGTGCTCTCCCCTCAAAGTTAGAAAATTAGCTCTTTTCTGTGATAATTACTGGGAATATTTTCCTGGTTGTGACAACTTTCTCCCCTGACCCTTTTTTATAATTCAGGGCCTGGGCCGCACACCCCCGGCCCTTTTTGCTTTAGTTATTTTTCAAGCAAGGCTTCACTTTTGTGCCCAGCCTGGCCTGGGCCTCAGTCCTCCGATTCATCTGCCTCCCGAGTAGCTGGGAGGACAGGCGTGAGCCTCTGTGCCCGGCCCGTCTCCTCCTCCTCCTCTGGCGCTGGGCTTCGCCCTTGCAAAGCAGCCGCTTGACCGCTTGAGCCACACCTCCAGTCCATTTTGCTGCTAAATGTGATGCTCCTGATCCAGCCTCCCACGTAGCTGGGATTACAGGCATGATCGTAGTGGCCGGTCGTCTTCTTTATAGTAACATTTGTCCTGTTTTGGCTTTTTTTTTTTCATTTTTATGTTGACGAATGAATCAGTGTTCCTCCTTCAGTGACCTTGAGGCTTTGTGTCTTACTTAGGCCTTTCCAAAGCCAGAGCAATAGACAGCTTCCTCTGTATTTTCTTCTTGGACTTTCATGAGTGTACTGTTACATTTTATTCTTTGATCTGTCTGAAACTATCTTTTATTAGGGAGCAAGTCCTCTTCTCCTACTGCCACGATGCCATCTGTTAAATAAGCTCTCTTTTCCCATGGATTTGCAAAATCACTACATGAAAATTTCCAATCTACCTTTCCATTTCTGATTTCGTTACTGTTGTTTCGGACTCACTCCTGAGTGCTGGGATTACAGCTGTGCACCACCACGCCCAGCTCAAGTTATTTTTTATAGTAGCTTTGAACATCTTTCAAGACCTTCCTCCTTGTCTACTTTAGAATTTTCTCCACTTTACTTTAGCTTTAAGAATGTTAAACCGTCCTCCCCGAAAACACAGGAAATGGTTACATGACACGCAGCCCAACGCTTGGAGGAATCCTGGTAGAATTTTGTTTTCAGCACTGACTTTTTTCAGACTAAACAACTGCCTGCATTCCTTCCCACAAGTACAGGGGTATTAGTTAGGAGAACACGCTGATTTTAGTAAGCACCAATCTTCTCTCATGCCAGAGAAATGCCTGAAAATGCATTTAAGTTGGTGCAGAGTTATCACTATGAAACTGAAGCAGGGGGGCCGGCACCCGCTTCTAGAAACTGCAGGGAAAGATGCACTGAGGCGGAATGCGAGTTTAAAACCACAGCCTGTAGCTCACGCCTGTAATCCCAGCTACTCAGGAGGCAGAGGTCAGGAGGATCGCAGTTTGAAGCCAACATGGGCAGATAAGTTTGTGAGACCCTAAAAGGGCTGGTGGAGTGGCCAAGGTGTAGGCCCTGAGTTCAAGCCCCAGTACCAGAAAAATAAAAAAATAAATACAAGAGCCACTGACTCTCTTACCTCCACACTCACTCACCTCCCCCCTTGCTGGTTGTTTTCTTGGGGGGTGGGGAGGGAGACGCACTGGGGTTTGAACTCAGAGCTTAGTACTTACTGGGCAGGCACTCTACTACTTGACAATCTCTCCCCCAGCCCTTTTAGTGTTACTTACTTTTCAGGTAGGATTTCATGCTTTTTGTCTGGTCGGGCCTCAGCCTGGGATCCTCCTACCTCTGCCTCCTGAGTAGCTGGAATGACAGGTGGCAGCTCCTGGAGGTCAGGGCTCTGTCTGGTCCCTGGCTGTCCCACAGGAGGTGCTCAACAGTCCTGGCTGGAGGACAGCTTGGGTGGACAAGAAAACTTCACGGTCCAGCCCTCCCCATGGTGCCTGCAGCTCTCCTCTCATCTCTCTGGGGCTCCTTGGCCAGGCCTCCCCCCGAGGTGCACCCTGAGCTCGGGCTGCTTCTGCCTGAAGACCACACCCCATCCTGAACCCCGATCCCTGGATCTCCCCCACTTCAGGCCGCAAGGGCCTCCAGACTTTCCGACTGGCTGGCTGAAAGCAGAGGGGTTGATTATCTTCATGGAGGTTAAACAGTGCGAGGGCAAACATAGCTCCTCCCATGGCTCGTGTGCAAAGGACCCCAGAAGCAAGCCACCCGCGCATCTGTGAGCCAGCTCCAGGTCCCCCTCGGCGCCTGTCCTCCAGCCTCAGCTTCCTGGACACCCTCCACTCACCCTTCTCAAAATCGCAGCCTTGCCCCCTTCCTGCTGGTCTCCATCATTGCTCCTGGTGTGGAATGATTCAGAGGTCCTTTAAGATGCTTGCTTCCAGGCTCAACCCCAGAAGTCCCGCTGCACAGGCGGGGCAGGCAATGACAGTTTTCTTTGTGGGATTTGAACTCAGGGCCTCACGCTTGCTAGGCAGGTGCTCTACCACTTGAGCCACTCAGTTTTTATTTTTCAGGCACAGTCCCTTATTTTTATGCCCAGGGCCACCGTTGGATCACAATCCTCCTACCTACGCCTCCTGAGTAGCTGGGATTACAGGTGTGCACCAACATGCCCGGTGTGAAATGGCTTTTTCTTTTTTTTGTGGCACCAGGGCTTGAACTCAGGGCCTTCCCCTTGAGCCACTCCACCAGCCCCTTTTTGTGTTAGGTATTTTTGAGATAGGGTCTCAGGAACTATTTGCCCTGGCTGGCTTCGAACCTTGATCCTCCTGATCTCTGCTTCCTGAGTAGCTAGGATTACAGCCATGAGCCACCAGTGCCCATCTTGAAATGGCGCATTGAAGAGATTCTCGGTAGGATGGCAGAGTGACTCAGTGGGTTGAGTGTCTGCCTTGCAAGTGTGAAGCCCTGAGTTCAGACCCCTGGCCTGCCAAAAAAAAAAAAAAAAAAAAAAAACCATTGCAGGTGAGTGACGCACTGGTCACCCTGGTTCAGGCGTCCGTAAATGACCTCTGCCTAGAAGTGTCGAAGTGTTTCTCATTTCCCAGATGCTTTAAAAAAACAAAAACTAGCACCTTGGCTAATTCAAATCACCTGTTACCCATTCTAGACACTTCTGGAAACCCTAAGCTTCTCTCATGGGAAATCTGCAATCCTTGAAACTCAATCGAACCCTAGTCTAGTCCCTGGTGTAGCTAGGAGTCCAGGAGTGTGAAAATTTTCCCAAATTAAACAGTTCAAGGCAGCCACAGTGACTCATGCCTATAATCCTAGCTACTTTGGAGGCTGAGATCTGGAGGTTTGAGCTTTGAGACCAGCTGGGGCAAATAGTTCTCAAGACCCCATCCCCAAAAGAACCAGAGCAAAATGGGACTGGAGGAGGGGCCCAAGCAGTAGAATGCCTGCTTTGCAAATGCAAAGTCCTGAGTTCAAATCCCTGGCCCATCAACCCCCCTGCCCAAAATCCCCCAAAACCAGTGCACGTACCGTCTACCTATCAAAGAGCCGGAAAAGATACTTAATTTGCTGAACTTTATTTTATACGCACAATACGTCACATTTAGTAATCAAGTATGAACCTGCTGACACCACGAAGCTTGACGAACCCAACTGGGCTGTCGCGGGCTTCGGTCACCCGGAGAGCCCAGTCCCCTCCCGTGTTTACAACCTCGCTGCACAGATTGGCAGCTGCAGGTGGGGACCGTCCCCTCTGGGTGTGCCTGCGGGAGACTTGCCCAGGGTTTTGAGATGAGTCGTCACGAGGAATTTGTCTGGAAGGTGACTCACAAATGACATCTAACAGCTGTTCACATTTTTATCACAAAAACTGAGGCCAGAAGAGAAAGTCACAAGGGTGAAGGCTCTAGGGTAGGACATGGTTACCGCACTAGGTTTACAGAGGCTGTCACCAGCTGTCACAGAGCTGGAGAATCACGGGAGGAGAAGAAGAGGGTGTTCTCGGGTGTTGAGTTACACGACATGCACAGGACGGAACTCAGTCCTCTCCTGACCTTCTTTGCCAAAAGTCACATTTACAAGAAGTTTAATTATATGCAAAAGGGGACAGCGAGCTGCACAGAAACGAGTTGACTCATAAAAATCCAAGGTGACAGTTCTCAGAGTGACTGGTTTGGATGGTGACATGTTTGAGTGGTCATTTCTCACACTTTATGACACATGAAAAAGTAGATTGGGGTTCCTTCTTTGTGGGTATCTCGGGACCCACGTATGGTCTGGAAGCCACTGGTCTTGGAGACCGAGCCCCGTCCCCCGCACTTGCACACAGGGCAGGGCGTGGCGGTCTGGTCTGACTTGGTGGGACTTAGCGCAGAGGACAGACATCAGCCAGTGTTTAAAAGATCGTTTGGGGGTGTCCCCGCCCCCCCCCAAAAAAATAAGAAGCAAAGTGCTTTTTTCTTGGAAACAGGATCTATGTAGCCAAGTCTGGCCTTGAATTTTCAATCCTCCTGCCTCAGCTTCCCAAAGGCTGGGATTATAAGTGTGCACTACCACACCTGGCTATACAACTAAGGGCCATTTTGATTGGCAGACTGGACACCCGCAATACAGGGAGACATTCATTTTCCCCAGAACTAACTCTCAGCACCTAAATCACATTCCGGTCAGACGGCAGGACGGATGGAAGCTGAGGACAGCTAGGCGGCCAGGCTGGGCCTAAAAATGCTGGTTAACTTACCCACAGTCAGCACAGGGAGGCTGAAGGGGGAAAACAGCCACCCTGTTCTTCAAAACTCCAGGCCCTCGGGGTCAGTTAACTCTCCAGATGAAGTGTGGGGGGAGAAGGTGACCAGGGTGAGCATGACGGTGACCCCGCCCGTGCATGCAGAAAGGCAAATGAATGTTCTAGAAGGCCTCCCAGACACCAGCTCTCCTGCCTCTGGGGGTGCGGGGCAAAGGCAGAGCGCCCAGGTCCTCACACCTGACTCTCACTTCATTTACCTCCCGGGTCACGGCTGCACAGACCGGTCCCTCAGGAGCAAAGGTCTCGTTTCACTCAGTGACAAAACACCGCTCCTGAAGTGGCCATCTCCGTCTTCTTTCAGCTCCTGGGGAACGGGAACGGGGGTCCTCGCATCAAAGCCTCCTGGGGTCTGTGGATAAATTATCACAACGGCTCAAGAGAAGCAGAGAGAGGCGCCGTTAGGATATTTTTGCTTCCTAGGCTCTCCTGAGGCCTTGAATATTTCCACCCCAACCAGGCTTTAGAAAGCTCCACGACACGCTCTGATAACATAACCCCAAACGGTTCATTTTTGCATTTTAGTTTTCACATAGGGTCTTGTTTTTGCCCCAGGGCCCACCATCTTGGACTGTGATTGCCCAACCTCGCCATCCCATGCGGCTGGGATTACAGACATGTACCACCACACCCACCTGGCTTGTTTTTGGAGATAGGGTCTCACTAACTTTTTTGCCCACACTGGTCTTGAACTCATGACCCTCCTATCACAACTTCCTTCATTCCAAATCATTAAATTCTTGTCAAGGAGGAGGTGGTATGGTATAGAGACACCCATCCGTAAAAGATCACCTGTAGGTATACTTTCCTGCCTTTCCTGGGCATTCCATCCAATGGTGGGCACCAGCTTTCTCCAAAACCTCACCTAGGGAGGGTGTCACCCACCTAGGATCCCCCTGGTCACCCAACTGACATCCCCCTCTCCCCATGGGCTTCTCTGCCCCAGCCTGCCACTCTAGCACCCCCACCCACTTCATCCAAGTCCTGTGGTCATTCTCACCTTTGGAGGCACAAGGAAAGCCTCCTGGCTTGGCCTTCGGGCCCCTGGACGCTGAGGCTGGTGCCCCGCCGGGCTGTGGGCCTCGAGGGGCCCTGTGAGCTGGCCCTGCTCTCCTGGAGCCCGGCCCCTTCCTTAGAATCACCGACTTCTTGGCATCTTTGGGATGGCCGTGAAGGTAAGAGACAGGCCCCAAGCTCACCTTCTTCTTCCTCACGGGGACCAGGCTCTTGCGAAAGGCCTTCCTCTTTGGGGGACTTTCCTGGCCACCATCTCGGTGTGACTCAGGGCTCTTAGCTTCCAGCAGGGCACCTTGAGGGCGACCCCTGGGAACCTTCCAGGCACTTTTCGCCAAGGACCTCTTCAAAACCCACTCCTGCTTCACCCGGGCCCTTTGATTGCTCTTGTTGGGTTTTGAAATTGCCATGTTTCTAGGGTGACACACTTCAGGACGTGTCACCAAGTAGGCAGAGCCGTTGGAATGGTTGCCTTTGGGTTTTTTCCAGGGTGCTGCGTCCTGCCTGGAGTTTCTCTTCTGCTTCTTTCTTCTGGATCGGGACTTCGCTCCAGCCCTGTGAACAAAAGGCTTGGGAGGGTCACACTGCTCATTAAAGCGAATGAGGTTTTCAACCTTCAAGGCAGAGCCCACCTCTGTGGCCAGCCCTGGCTCCTTCTTCACCTTCTTCCTGGCCACCAAAGCCCAGGCTGCCAACTCCTCCTCGGCCTCCTGAGCCCTGGCTTCCTCCCGGCTCCGGAGCTCAGCATCTATGCAGAAGACCACTTGCACCGCCGCCCCCAGGAGCACCCCCAAAGCTTCGGCCCAGTTCTCCCAGGGCTGGTTCTGGGGTCTGGGGGGATGGTTAAGCTGGAGCAGGCGGACCACATCCTCCCAGGTGCGGCCCTCAGCATCCAGGAATTCATTGAGGTTTTTCAGAAACTCGGCGTCCTGAGTGGGGTCCCTGCAGGCCACTCTCCAGACACCGCCCCTTCCTGGGAACTCCCGGGGGACCGTGCTCACATTCACACCCTCGCCAACCTCCACCAGGGCAGCTTTGACATTCTCCGCTCGCAAAAAGATCCTGTTGAGCACGCGGTACGTGCCCAGTGGGGACAGGACTCCATTCAAGGTCTCCTCAATTTCTGCCTGGCCACAGTCCGCAGGGATGCCTGTGACCAACAGGGACCTGTGGATGTCCACTTCCATCCCGCGACACCAGTCCTCCAAAAGGTTCATGGCCATGGCCTCCGACATCTGGCTGCTCCAGCTGCACCTGCAGCAGAGGGCCTGGGAGGTGGGGGTGGTGATGTGTGTATGGGGGACCCCAAATGTGAATCCTGCAAGGTCACAAGGAGGGGGAGGGGATCGGATTCCAAGGGAAATGGCCTGGCTTGCACGGATGGGGCCTCGCACTTCCCCGAGACCCCCTCCTCCTCCCAGCCCCGGCCCCGGTGCTCACACGTGTCCGGGAGTCAGGTGCAAAATCGCGCCCCTCCCCCACGGCTGGCGCTGCGCCGGGCCCCGGCCGGGAGTTAACCGGCAGCCCCGCCTCCGACGGTCCAGCCAGGCCCAGGAGAGGCCTCTAGGGGTGCAGCTGCTCCCCAGCAGCTGGCTCGGGCCACCCCGGTGCTGCGGCTCTGCCCGGGACGCCGCCGTCCTTCCCGGCGCCGGCCCCAGGCGGTCACGCGCCGCCCGGCCTCGATCCCGGTTCAGCTGCGCCCAGCCGAGGCTGGCGGTGCAGCGCGCGCATGCGCACTCGCTCCCAGCGCAGCCGGACCCGCAGCAACCCGCGGTCTCCATGGCAACCGACCGGGTTGGTTGCTAAGAGCCAGCGTGGCGCGAGGCGGGTTCTGCAGGGAGGACGTGTAACGTTTGGGTTGGCCACTGAGGAAGGGGACTGGACGGTCTGCAATCCTCCCTCCAGGTCCCCTTTCCCCTCCTCCATCTCCTCCCTCCTCCTCCCTCCTCCCCTCCCTCATCCTTCCTCTCCCTCCTCCGTCCTTCCTCTCCCTCCTCCGTCCCTCCTCCCTCCTCCCCCTCCTTCACTCCTCCCTCCTCCCCTCCTCCCCTCCTTCCTCCCTCATCCCTCCTCCCTCCTCCTCCCTCCTCCCCCTCCTTCTTCCCTCCTCCCCTCTCCCCCTCTTTCCTCCCTCATCCCTCCTCCCCCTCCTTCACTCCTCCCTCTCCTCCTCCCTCTTTCCTTCCTCCCTTCTCCCTCATCCCTCCTTCATCCCTCCTTCATCCCTCCTCCCCCTCCTCCTACCTCCTCCACTTCCTTTCTCCCTCATCCCTCCCCCTCCCTCCTCCCCCTCCTCCCTCCTCCCCCTCCATTCCTCCCCCTGTTCCTCTCCCCTCCCCCTTCTCCTCTCCCTCCTTCCTCCCTCCTCCCTCCTCCCCCTCCTTCCTCCTTCATTCCTCCCCCTCTTCCTCTCTCCTCCCCCTCCTCTTTCCTCCTCCACGTCTTCCTCCCTCTTTCCTCCTCTCTTGGGAGCCACAAACCGCAATCTGACAAGGTTGTTGCTTAGCAGGATCCAGACAAGGTCGGGGACTGCAGGTGCACCTCGTCTCTCACTGGGGTTTTTGAGGGAACATGGAGGGGCTTGCTTTGTCTGGAGAAAAGAGACTGATAACCTGAAGGTATTGTTTTAGTATGAGCAAGACAGAAAGGTCAGGAACAGGTGACATGTCCTTGGCAGCTAAGGTCCGGGTTTTTGTATAAGAAACTAGGTGAGACTAGGGAGGTCCGGGTTTTGTTTATGAAACCAGGGAGGTTGGAGCCAGGGCATTGTTTCCCAGGCATAGAAGTTCTTCCTGCTTTGTAGAACTTCCTGCGTTGTACTGCTTATAAGCCTGATGCAAAAATTAAAATTTGCCAGTTGGTCATCAGCCTTCTGGTCCTCTCGATTTGTGTCTCCATTGTTCTTTCCTTTCCTGAGCCCTTTCAGGTCAAGAACCTCTGTGATCCCAGCATTCCTCTTCCTCCGTCCCTGCCCCCTCCTCCCTCATTCCTCCTCCTCCCTTCTCCCTCCTCCTCCTCCCTCCTCCCTCCTCCTCCTCCCTCCTCCTCCTCCTCCTCCTCCCTCCTCCTCCCTCCTCCCTCCTCCTCCTCTCTTCTCCTCCTTCCCCCTGCTTCCTCTCCCCTCCTCCCCCTGCCCCCTCCTCCTCCATCTTCTTCCTCTTCCTCCTTTCTCCTCCTTTCCTTCTTCTTTCTTCTTTCTTTCTTCTTTCTTTCTTTCTTTGTGAGACTGGGATTTGAACTCAGGGTTTCTTGCTTGCAAAGTGGGTGCTTTACCACTTGAGCCACACCATTTTGTGGTAGTTATTTTGTGCTAGTTACTTTGGAGATGGAGGGGTCTCTCCAACTATTTCCCTGGGCTGGCCTCCAACCTTGATCCTCCCAATCTCAGTCTCCGAAGTAGCTTCGATTACAGGTGTGAGCCACCAATGCCTGGCTCAGGCCCACTCAACACCCTTGGCTACTGAATGTGGGTCTTGGGGACATGGTGCATGGGAGATGCTGACATTTATGGCTGCACTAACCAGCTCTTGTATCCTTTGTCATCCGGGGTCCTAGGAGACACTAGAAATCAGAGGGCAAAAGAGGGGCTTCGGTCTCCCCTGGCTCTTCTCACAAAAGCCACAGCTCCAGTTCCTGGATTCTAAAACCTACCCCAGGAATTTCTAGAAACTTCTAGAAATTTCCTGCCCACTTTCTTGTTTCCAGGCCCTTTAAGGTTGAGGCACAACCTTTGCTAATGGTTTATTAGGCACCCCTTAATAACTCAGTTGGATCCACCAGCAATGGGAGCAACACCTGGCAACATTGCCCCTCACTGTGCAAGGTCAGACAACTGATTTGCACATTCTCACCTCCTTGTCTCCAAAACAGGAATAAAAATAAAAGATCTTTTTATTTTTCTTTTTTGGTGGTACTGGGGATTGAACCCAGGCGAGGCAAGCATGGGAGCTACACTCCAAGCCCACAGTGGGTCACTTCCTGACCTAGAAGTATGAATATTGACGAGCTTGCATAGGAACAATTCAACGAAGGAGAATTTTGACTTTTCTTTGCAGTCAGTATCACCTCTGGCATCCCTAACCACGGACGTGATCGGCTTGTGTGATTCTTAAAGTTCCCATCATATTTTGTGCAAAAAAGATTGACATTCGCACTGCTATCAATCAATTGCTTTGCATGCTGCAGTTGTGTGAATCAAAGAATGGCTGGATTCCAGTACGCAGTGGTTTAAAGCACAGCCCCGAAGTCTCTGACTCTCCTGTGGCTCCCCCCACTGAGCCAAGAGAGTGTGGCAGAAGGACAGCCTGTGCCCCCCCAGGCAAGGGTACAGAAGGCAGTCGGTCTCTCCTCCTTCCTGGGGTCACTCAAGCTTCCAAGCCTGAAGTTCAACCATTGCGTGGGTGCCATGCTGTGAGGAAGCAACATGTCACACAGAGCACATGTCAGTGCTCCAGGCAGCTCCTCCCAGCTGAGGATCACGGCCTAAGGCACCAGACTTAGGAATGAAGAAACGTTTAGACAAAAGCTGGGCGTGGCCTCAAGCCTCCATCCTCCTGTCTCCGGCTCAACACTGGATTCTTTTGGGGGTGGGACTGGGGTTTGAACTCAAAGCTTTGCACTTGCCAAGCAGGAGCTCTACCACTTGAGCCACACCTCCAGTCTATTTTACTCTGGTTATTTTGGAGATGGGGTCTTGAGAACTATTTGCTTGAGTTGGTCTCAAACCTCAATCCTCCTGAACTCTGCCTCCTGGGTAGCTAGGATTACAGGAGTGAGCCACCAGTGCCTGGCTAAACTAGGTTTTTAAGTGCAGTCATCCTCAAAGTAACAATTTCTGGGTAGAAAAAAGGGGGGAATACGATTGAGGAGGAAGGACACAGGCTGCTCAAACATTTTTTTTTTAAATAAGTATGAACAAATACAGCATAATATCAGCATTTGATAAAAATGGAGGGTACGTGACAGTGATCTCATTTATTTATTTATTCATTTATTGTGTGCGTGTATACGTATGTGACCGGGAATGGAAATCAGGACCTGGCACACAAGGCAAGCGCTCTAGCACTGAGTCATAAAACCCCAGCCCAGGAATGTTGCATTTTTTTTTTTTTTTTTTTTGTGGTACTGGGGATTGAACTCAGGACCTCATGCATACCAGGCAAACACTAAACCACTGAGCTGTATCCCAGCACCAAGGTCGTTTATTTTTTTTTTTTTTGTTTTGTTTTTAAATAATTCTTGGCTCTGGGTTTGGAATTTTCCAGAATTAAAAAAAATGGTAATGTTTTCTTAAGAATAACTGGCTAGTGTTGAGAAATGCTCGCTGGCCTGGCCCTGGGTTTAATCAACAGCATCCTGGGGGGGGGGGAGAGGCAATGTTTTATTGTGAAATTCACCAAGGCCAGAGGTGACTGGGAGCGACATTTCCCATAGCTGACATTATATTTGAATTAGCTGTCTCCCAAATATGGAAGGAAAAAGGGAAGTGTCTTCAGTTCTGGAAACTGAGATTTCCCTCGTGGAATTAAGAAGGTTTAGAAGGCTCTGTTATCAAAGACGAAAATGAGGCTTTTGAATGATACCGCTCCAGTGAAGCGTGGGTGGAGGGAAACCATGCTTCCAAATTAACATAGTCTTTAAAAATTTCTTTTGGCAGTGCTGGGGTTTGAACTCAGGGACTCACACTTGCTAGGCAGGTGCTCTACCACTTAAGCCACAACTCCAGCCTGCTTCTGAATTTCTGAATTAATATTTCACTTGCTGCTCTATGCACTTTTTTTTTTTCTGTGGTACTGGGGATTGAACCCAGGACCTTGTGTATGCTAAGTAAACACTTAAGCACTGAGCTACGTCTCCAGCCCTCTGTGCTTTTAACGTGGAAGAATAAGAAAGTAACTTGAAAACTATAAATAAACACTGAGGTATAAACAATTTTTAAATAAGTGGATATAAAACAATATTATATCTGTGTGCCCAGGACTCACGCCTGTAATCCTAGCCTCTTGGGAGGCCGAGATTGGGAGGATTATAGTCTGAGGCCAGCCCAGGCAAATAGTTCTTGAGACCCTGTTGATAAAATAACCAGATCGGGAGGTTTGGCTCAAGTGCTAGAGCACCTGCTTGGCAAGCCTGAAGTTCTGAGTTCAAATCCCACCAAAAAAAAGAAAAAAAATCATGAAGTGCAAAATACTTAAAAGATAAATATTTAAGAGAGAAGAATTAACATTTTTATACAGAAAAATATAAATATAATTCAATGTGTATATATAAACGTGCATTTTCTATATATGTGTGTTTATAAATACACTCGTGTTAAGTGGAGTATGAGACCTTTCTGCTCTCATTAATGAGCCACTCTGGCAGATTTAAAAATAGTTTTGAAGTATCCTTAATAGGAATCTCACTGTGGTTTCCATGACAACACATGGTACTGTGGTTTCCATGACAACGCATCCCTGCAGCCCCAACCCTCTCCTCCATCCCTGTACTTTGAATTCAGGATTCTATCCTTTGCCTCTGTGTTTAGCCTTGGGGTTTCTATTTTGGCCTGCCGTGTATTTTAAGTGAGAACTCACTGAGGTTCCATAAGTACTGACCCCAGAGAAGGTCTAGTGGTCTTGGGGTCCCCACCTGGATTTTCTCCCCTGCGTAAGTGGTTCTGACCTGCCACGGTCATTCAGATACTCATCCTGGCTTCT